ATCGATACTGCATATCGACGGTGGTGCTTACTCTGAAAATGGACATCTGGATGGAAGCAACCCTTTGGATTCAAGGTTTGTAAAAGGTTTTTATGACATGTGCACTGTGGAAAAAACTGAGGTGGCTGCAGAAGTGGGGGGGGGGTTGAGAGACATGTCTCTGTCCTATATCACCCAACAATCACCTGACAATGACTGAAGTAATTGAATAATTGATTCAATGACAGTTGAGTGTGTACACCATGTGGTACAGTACCACTATGGAATCACGTTGAGAGACTTCTGGAAAAAAGTGCAAGATGGGTCAACTGGTTCAAACCAAAACAAAAAAACAGTCTCCCGTTTCTGGTTAGCGAACGTGTTGCTGTAGACCTGTGCGCCGGGAAAATAAAAAAGTGGTTGGTAGCGGCGGTACGTAATGTACATGTATGCAGTCACAATGGACATCGCTCATTATACGTACATAACATACGAGTATGACAACTCACATCATGCAAGGATGGTTCCTGTAAAGTATAGTATCATGTGGGTGACATCGTCAACAAAATGTCCATATCCATAGAAATCCACAGTGACTGAAGTTTGGAGGCAATGTACATGTACATGTACCGCCTGTGTGGCCTTGTTGAGGTGCTGTCACATCACATCTTTGTTACAAAATGTGTTTGACTGTTTTAAAACTCTGGAAATGTCTTTGACCAAGCCATATCTTGTGGTCTTTTTATTAATGCAAAGTTGTCTACTCACACATTTCTTATAATAGCAAGGCCATGTTCTAAAGCACATGTGCATGTACAAGTGCATCATTTCGAAGACAAAAAAAGTGAGGGTCAAAAAAGAAGTGTTGTCACACCACTTGTGCAGCCAGCCCCTGACCAGAAACTGGAGACTTTTTTGGGCCCCATTTCACATATTGTTAGTTCCTGTGAAAGAATTCTGTTTACTTTCAACACAATCAGTTTAAAACAAGATGCATGCCACGATCCAACCACTGAGAAAACTTGCTATAGATTTATTAAAACGAAAATTAAAAACATACATGTACTTGTACATTTCCTGAAATGGGAAGAATTCTTCCTATTTGGGTTGCGGTGTGTACCGGTACATATACTAGTACATATAGGTGGCTACCAGATCATGTATCCGGCATCATCAGGTGGGGAAACAAACTTAATGTTTCAGCTGGTCAACTTTACATGTAAAACAAGTGCTTCACAAAGGGCCCACCCTATGCAAGCATTCTCTTATCAAACTGCTCCGATTCCAAAGGTCTGGTACAGAATAATCAGTCAATTAGTAATGATTAACCTTAACTGATTCAACTTGAAAGGACAAAAAAATGGTGGCATCACAAATGGAATTCAGCGTTCTAAATAAAGTGTGTTTGTCATAGAGCGTGTACAAAAACTAGAGCGCTGACTCATGTATTGATACAAAGTGATACCTGCTGTTTGTGCACAAACCTATGAAAATTCGAAATTTTGTACGGCTTTTGCACGACCATTTGCATATCTGCATCTGTATTCTAAAACAATACATCAACAAAGCCAATACGCAAGAAACCTGAACGCACAATCAGTATATGAGCATTTCATTTTGTTCTGTGCCAAAAACACAAACGTGTGCACGTATGCACTAATGAATTTTGCCGTGACATTTTTAATTGGATTTTATCAGTACCCGATGCAGGCAACTCACTTAACACTGACTGAATTAAAGAAGTGACTTTTCAATTTAGCATAACTTAATCAGAAAGACATAAAGACATGCATTGCTCAAATGTAACAGAAACATTTGTTTTGTAAATAATCATCTATTAATTAATAGTTAATTAATTCGGTATCCATTCTATCTGATTTTGAATGTTTTACAAGCATACACGTATGGATTCAAAATGTCGGCGCCCAGGACAGCACCAGATTTTCTCCACATGGAGAATGAGAAGTTAGCACTCTAGTTTTTATATACATGTATACCAGTAGCTCTGTGGTTTTAATGTTCTAAACACAGGCAGAGCAAGTGGAAAGTTTGGTGGAACTCTCTATTTCCGGTGCCTGTACACCTTCTCTCTCCCCATGGCAAGGGGAATAAGGGAAACCAAGTCTAGTAACCCTAACCTTCCCCAACCACACAGAATTAAACAGGAGTAGAGTGTTTAATTCTGTGGGGATAGGTCTGGTTGGCCTAAATAGCTGGCTTTTGGCAAACCTCAGAAAAGCAAAAAGTCCAACAGCCTCTGTGCACAAAGTCCCATATAGGTGTTTAACTTTGTGTGAATTGGGAAGGTTAGGGCCAGCAACCCTTGGGGGGGGTAGGGTTAGGGTTAAAAGCAAAGCATGCTTTAGCTTGCTGCATCCAAGAATTTAATAAGTTCCAAACTTACTCTCGTCTGATTTCAGGGGAAAAAAATCATTTGACACTTGCTGCCAAACAGTTAACAAATGAAATACATTGTATGTAATGCTATTCTTATAACTGGTATCATGAATCTCATAACAGGGTATACCATTATGAATATCAGACCTATATGCACATGTAAGGACTTGATGTGTGGAAGGCTTTACATGTACATGTATAAACCCTAGTTGTGCCCAACACTACATTTTGTCATTACTGGTATCTCATCAATCCTTCCTAATGTTTTTCTGTTTATAGAAGCAGTTGCTTCAGGACGCACACGGACATGCGCTGTACCTGAACGCCTACACTGACACCATAGTGCAGACAGAAGGGTCATTAGTCTTTGTCTATATCAGAAAGCATTTCAGCCAGGGAGTGTAACACTGAAATCTGCTACTAGTCACTGTACGCTTGTACATGGTGCCTTGTGGGGTACAAGAACAATGGAAGGTACCCCAACAAGGCCAGTTTGATCCTTGTGGGATACTAAAATGGTACCCCACAAGAATTTCACGAAACAGATATTTCAAATTTACTCAAAAAGGAGGAATTTTCAAGTGCCATTCATCTGTCGCAAATTAAAACATTTTATATAAGGGACATACGGTTGAAATTTCAACCCAGGAAACTGTTTTTGGTTGAAATGGCAGTGATTTGAATTTTTTTCCGTGTTGTGTGGGAGTTTTGTACACGAGAACAAAGGAAATACCCCACAAGTATACAAATGTAAGGGTGGGTGTACATACATGTACGTGTACACTATATGCATAGTGTGCGTAAATGCCATATGGCGGCTTTAACAGCTACAACCTTTACTTACAAATACAGGCAGCAATTTTGAATTTTTTCCCTTTTAATTTAAAAGAGGTGGGTCCATCCAGCAACGGTTCATTAATATTCTAAATGAGTACTATGTTAAAAGAAAAAACATTTTTTCATTTGAGACAGATTATATTACATGTCAAAATATTGTACATGTATATGATCCTTTAATTTGTTTGATGTGAGAATTACATGTACAGTCGACTCTCGTTAATACGAGGGCCTTGGGACTTATCCGGAACTTGTCTTATGCGAAAGCTGCCGTCCTGCTCGACGTATGTACATGTATCACCAATCGACCGTGCGATTGTTGCACATAAAAATAGGAGGAAACCAGCTATTGGTGGTGTGGACAGCAGCGGGCGAATATCGGATTTTACTTGGGAAAGGTGTGGGTTGTGTGGGTTTGGTGCAAAATTATTAGCGAGGGATACACTTTTTCTTCCAAACTTGTGGTTGCAATTTTCTTAAACATTTTTGGACAGAAAACCACGGTTTAGTCATGATTTTCTTAAATTGGGAATTTATAGAAATGTCAAAATCAGACGGGGTGACATTTTCATGTTACAGTGGGAGCGGGTAATGATTTGTAGACAGAGGGGGGACAGTTCTAGGGGCTGGGTGTTTGGTTACGGAACACAATTTTTATTAGTTTCCTGGGTGGACTTCGGTTTTGGGGAATGGGGGGGGGCACGGAAATCAAACAAAAGATTTCTTTTGTTCACCACTGTCTTAAATACCGTAGCACTTTTGGCGGCACTCGCTTGTGTTCAGGTGGTACGAGAGCCACCACACAGAATTTCTGTGTTGGGTACGGGGACCGCAAACGCACATTGTTCGTCTCTCTTGCAGCACCAGACACAAACGGCTCGATTCGGTAAGGGAAAACTACAGCGCTGTTCTACTATACACGCATAAATTACGGAAGCACCTTTCAAAATTGAATGGACTAGCTGACTGACAAGTTGCCTTAAAAAAAGCATGTGCTGAATAGACAGATAACAATAGATTTGCACTCGGCCAGTGCAAAAAAAAAAATGCTCGTCTTAACCGAAATCTCGTAACATCTGAGCTCGTATTACATTTTTTTCCCTCATAGAAATGTGCACAAATATGCTCGTCTAAACCGGAGTCTTCTCTTACCCGAGCTCGTATTACCACGAGTCGACTGCATCCTCACGTTTGTCCACAATCAATGCCGAAAAACAGGCCTCGAAACCGAGGTCTGGATCATTCCACAGTCAAGTGAAACTCTTCCAGTAAGTTTCAAGTTTGTCAGTTAGGTATAGAGTGCACTTCTCCTCAAGGTCACACAGGTGATGGCCATAAAGAGATTGCAGAACAACTGCGGTCTTTACCTCACAGCTGAAAAGGTAATTACACTGTACATGTAGTAAGCTGGTGTACAAGTACAAGGACATGTACAGTGTAATGCATGGATACATTCTGCTGCAGTGAGTGCATGTTTTAGTGGTAACTGCCAACAACATGTTCAAACATAATGTTCCATTCACTGCACGGGAACAAAGCTTAGTTGATCAGAAAAACCGGTCATCTGCATTGTACGCCTTCATCATGTTTTAGCCGTTGACAGCTACATTGTAACTAGAAAGGACCAAGGTCTTGATTTTTCTTTTCATTCATGCAAATGCGGCAAACACTTGCCAATGATCTCTCACTGGACACGCAGAAATGTAAATTGAAACTTGGCATCAACTGCATGAATGGAATTAACTAACTCCGCTGTTATCTTGCTGCGATGGTCTTTGTGTACTTACCGATATGTTCACCCTTTGGAGGCAAATCTTCCTGTAGGCCCTCAAAGCCAATGGCGGGCGGTGCTGCCATGTCTACAAGGAGAGCCAAGAACAATAATCACTACATGTAGCATGAGATGAGGCACAGACCAAAATACATCCACCCAGTGCATTGGAAAGGCAAACCACAATAAACCCACACAACTCTACCACACATCACCGATTTCTTTGGGATTTTTTTTTAAGTTCAGAGTCAGTCAAGCCAAAGGTGAACAGTCTCACTGTCTTTGTATCGGGAATCACTGAAGCATGACACAAATAGGTCAGCCTTATTGGAGAAACTACACAAAGGGGAGAAATCTAGCAGTAAACAAACCTAAACAGTACTTCACAAAATGGAATTGGAAATATTTCTGAAGACTTCCCAAAAATCTGGCCTGTTTTAACAGGACATTTTTAAATGATGTTCATTCATTATGCTACAGGTAATGGAATACATGTACACCAACTACATTTTGACATGTGAGCTACCGGTGTCGGGTACAAAACCAGAAAGAAGTTTATTGTGGAGTACCCTACATTCGTGCATCCAACTTTCTCGTCGTGAAACTGTTGAATTAAATTATGCACCAATGATCGATCGTCACTTTGTTTTTCTTTCTGCAGCTATGAGCGAGTTAAAAGCTTTTCCAGTGAGAAATCTGGAAAAATGTCTGCCGAGCACAGCATTTTACTTTACAGACTGAATAAATAAACTAATATAACTGGTAGAAATTGTCTAGAAAATAAACAAATGATCGCTGTTCGCTCACGATTGGTGTTGACACGGGTACATGTATGCAACAGGCACTCTGCCAACTTCGGTCAACTTTCACCAACTACTGAGGGCGTCATCAAAAATATGGAGCCTGAAAAAGTACTGCGCACCTTATATTTTAAGATTTCCGTTGCAGACGACGGCGCGGATTCAGGGGCACTGTATTTTGTGACTTTTTTCAGAAACACACATAGAAAGAGAATTTCTGTCATAATATCCTGAATAACTCATACATCAATACTAATATGACTGATATGAAAGAATCAAAACTCATGCCAAATTGTAATTTGAAATGAAACTGACAAATATTAAAAACAAAGTGAACAAAAAAGAGACAGTGATAGGAAATCGAAAATGGTGGAAAATGTCGAATAAAAGTGTTTTTTTACTCAGCCTGCATTTCTACACCAAAGCAATTAATGCAAAAAATGATTCCTCATTAATTTCAAGACATTAACTGGCAGATTTTTCAGAAGTAGACATTTGTAAACATACGTGTGCAAATTTTGGGTGACATATGTTTTACTACAGTCAATCTGACTAATTTGCAGATGACGTTCCTGCTGCTTCGGCAACATCTGATGTTCTTCATAATAATTACTACTACGACTATAGGCTATATTAGTCCTTGTAGAATTTTAGTCAAACTACATGTATTTGAGTATCAGCAAAGAGAGACTCTAACCCCGACCTAATTAAAAAAAAGACGAGAGTCAAAAGCCATCTGCATTAGGCCCTACTGTGTCTGCACATTACAGGCATGACGGGTGACGATTTAGCGTACCTACCCAGTTACGTACACGTACCCAGGTACCCACGCCGTAATTCCCAGCAGTGTGCTGTCCTGCTCGATAACCCTCCGCGGAATATTTCTGTAGACAAGTACCAGCCACAGTGTACCCCGATCAATTCAGGCACGCTATCTCTCAAAGAGCAAACTATTTTGAAACATTAACAGAGTATTACGCGTGAACTACGGCCTTTGAACGTGAACATCCGCCATGTGCACGCACACGTACACGCGTACTTAGTTAAGTTAGGTCAACATCGCGATACAACCTAAGTCTTAGACTAGACACGCCTAAAAAAAAATACACATTGCAGCACATAACCTCTACCCCAGTATTTTCTATGCATCGCTAGGGATACGTGCAAGTGAGCATGAACTTTTGGGATCGATATTTCACAGTGCTAGTCTCCTTAGCAGCCGTCTAGTGCGTCGCATTGCCGCGAACTGCGACCTGAGTGAGATCGCATGGTTCATTACGGCTCGTGACAGAGACTATGTTGTATGTTGACTTTTGCTCTTGCGATCGTAATATTAAAATCTATCTGGGTAAAAATAAACAGTATGGACTCCGAAAAATAGAACATTTCAGATACCATCGAATAAATTTAATGCCTTTGTAAAATAAAGAATGCCTACCTTTCGCGATATTTTATGTCATCTTTACGGTTCGCACTATTAATAAGCTGTTACATTTTTCTTTTTCCAGCAAGCAGATGTTACTTTTTATTCCTAGGGTTGGAGTTGTCATCCAAGCTCCTACTTTCAAACAACATGTAGGCCTAAAGAGCGGTACCATTTTAAAAATGGTCCTGCCTCATCCCCGGTTTTTAAGATGATGAATATGTCAGGATTTCTTTAAAAATAATATACTTGCCTGAGCTTGAACCCTAAATATGCCAAACCACGTTTTGATTTTTTTCCAGAATAGATAGATTTGGACATGGATGGTGACATATTTTTGGATAAAAGAGCCATGTAAGTGAAGAGATCGCAAACTGCTGCACGTATTTCAACGACATCCCTTACCTGAACAAACCTCCAGCGCCGGTAAAATCATAAGTTCATTATTGACGACTGATCACACACTCTGAACTGATTTCTGCATTTCAACATCTAAAAAAGATCGAGGGGCCCACACGCTACGGTTATAAGTCACAAATTCAAAATCCATCAGAAAAATCCTGTATGCGTACCTGTGATTGTCAAATCACCGTGTTGTCTAACCACAGTCTGTACCGCGGGAAATGGCTCTACGCGATTAGTGTTGGACGCGATTTCTCGTATCCCGCTCATTATTCAGCGGACGCGGGTGGCAGGATGAAAATGAGCGGCCGTCATAACTGTGGGGAGCTAGCTCTGAATCTGCTTTCCTTAACGTGCGCGCACTGGTGCTCAACGCCGTCACGACATCTTCGACTTAGGCTACCTTCCGTGGTACTGAAAACGTGAAATGGAGGCTTGAACAGACAATGGTAAATCGTCCTGCGTCAGCGGCCGCGCCCAATTATGGGGATTTGGTTTCTATGACAATGCTATAGGCCTATGCATTTTTAAAATTCCAATCAGAATGATTGGATATGATGATTATGATTATGAATATAAACATTCTTAATTGAAAGCTCTACCAAAGTCAGTTTATAGCAGGATTAAGGTTAAATGTGAAGACCTGCTTTCCACTCGTTACCATGGCAATATAAAATCTTATTCATTCCACTTCCAACATTTTTTCGTCCATGTTGAAGGATACTTGCAAATACCTCTATTAACAAATTGAACTCTTTTGGGCAGACTAGGCCTACTGAAAAACTATGAGAATCAGAAGCTCAGTTTAATACAAAGTGGCGGGGCCAATAGGTTCAGTTATATAAGTAGTTACTTGTATCTCCCTGAGAGCGCACTTCGACGTTTCCCAATGCAGTTTTGACTTTCCTCGCGCAGTGTTGCCAAACCTCTTTGCTGCAAAACTTCAAATCAATTAGGTAAAATACTAGAACTAAAAAGCTTCTTAATTCTTGCTGTTGAACCAATGTGAACAACTTCAGGGTCATTGTGAACGGTCCGAAATTAGAAAATGGTGGCATCCGGAAACTGGGCACAAATTTAGCTGAGCGTTCCTTCACCTTGTGCACTTGAACAAATCTCAGAAAATCCCACATCGACATCTAAGAATTCCTTTAGAGTTGATAGGTTCTTTTGAAAGTCATGATTACCTCCACTCGCATATCCAACGACAACGTTTGAATTAAAGAAAAGGCGTATTGCAAAAGACTTCATCATGCACTTTGAAAAAAATATCAGTAAATAAGGACAAAATAGAGTTTACTGGGACTTTCTTTTGCGGGTACATCAACTCAAGATTTTTGAACCAGAATATCGAAAGCCTGATGAAATTTCGATTATCACGAAATATAACAGTGTTCTAGTACCTTGGTACTAGAGGCAAAAACTTAAAAAGCATCACGTTAGGGGACGCGTTACATTTGGCTTTATCAACTGTGTGTCGATCTTTAATAGCCTGAATTTTATTCGTAGCAGCATTAATAATGGTCATAATTGAATTCATTTTTGAAAAAAAAACGGCCTTTGGTAAAGGTCCTGCAAAAATTTAAACCATCAAACGCACACTCATAATCATTTGGTTGATTTTGGTAATATAGCTTTGGATGTTGGCATTTTAGTCTATTCTGTGGTTGTCTAGGACTCCGTTTCCGTGAAGTCAAAGCAGAAACTAATTCATACCTATTTTATCGCGTTTCTTCACGTTAGTTGACGGACTTCACTTAACCGTGGGAGGGCACACATTATGAAAACATGGCGCTAATTCACTTATGGCTAATATCGGAAATGGCGCTGAACGCATTCAGTAGTAAAGCGGTTGACACGTGAACAGAAACATGAATAATAAATTATTACTAACGAACCAATCCTCTGTAACAAAATCTCCAAAGGGCACTTGTAATTGGTGCCAATATTGATGATCCAGTGTCCTTCAACTTCTCATAAAGAAGACGGCACCTACCGTTGGTTTTATTGTATGTTCCGGTGATACCAGTATCGATGTCTGTCGGTTCTGGCCCGACCTTCCCCGTTCTGATGGACTTCAACGACTTGTGCGAGTCTACCGACTGAGGACGGCGCTTTGAAGTGTGTTCCATAGAACAAATCCGGTGGGCTCGGCGAGATTAGACACTTTTTGGCCAACCGCCCAACATAGTAATAAACAAATGTTCCTCTGGATGAAACTTTATAGTTCGTAAATTTGTTGTTTTTTTATCGATGCTGTACGCCATCAACTGTCATAACGACAGGGCGTGCTTGGGTATAGACTTTGACCCGAGTCTCGATTAAAGCGTACTGCGTGGCATAAATTAAAATCGATCACCTTTGTTCCATACGTTTCGTTAATTTTTCAGTTCTTAATGAAGTGTAAACAATCGAATAATGTCTGTGCCCAGTGCTATTGTTTGAAGTGATACACAAGGCCTA